GATAGGAGTGATTAAGTTTTATTTTCCTGGCTCTATCAGTTGGCATAATTGAGGCACACAAGCTCTTGGCAGAAAAGAGCTATTTGATGTCAGGATAATACCATTAAAAAGGGGAAATAATCAGCAAAATAAACAGTTTTAATCTGTATACTAAGCTTCTAAAAATAGGGAAACATTTGGATGATTTACTGCACTTTCACTCTTCATGTAAATGTTCTGCGCTCTGTAGATACAGCCATCATCTTTTTTTTTTCTCAGTTTAAACTTTTCCTCCAGAAAGATGTTTTGAGAAAGGATGGAAGGACCTATTCAGACCTTTCCAAGCCTATTTGTCAAGTGGATTGCATTTGTGGTCTCTTTTAAAAAGATGCTTTACAATGTATGCGAGCAGTTTTTGTAAATTAATATCATCATTAAAGATAAGCTGGCCTCCTGTACCCCTCCTTTAACTTCTTGTTATGTGAGGCTGCCATGCTGGGCTCCACAGACAGCAGTTTTGTCATGGCCCTGGGGCCCGGGGGAATATTAACTTACAAGGCTTTCCATATTTTGCTTTTACATTTCTGAAACTATTTCAAAACTTAGCCACTGAAATGCAAGTTATTAAATACACTTTACTAGAATGTAGGAAGTGCTTGCGTTCCCCCCTCCCCGCTTCGGAGAAAAGATGTTTGGGAATGAATGAGTGGACTTATAAGACTTATGTCCTGGCTTCTTTTGAATATCTACATCGACACATAACCCAACATAATAAAAGGAGAGTTAAACTAAAAATCAAGCTGTGTTCCTCCAGGGTTAGATCTTAGATGCAATTTAAATGTCCCCCTAGGATTTTTAAAAAAACATTTTGTTCTATTACATTTCCTGAGTTCTAGTTGAGTGGATACTGAGTGTGAGCTCTAACGGGAAGGAGGGAGTCTTTGGCTTCTAGTTGTCAGAGCCTCCTAACCTTGCAACGGAGTCCTTGTCCCCTTCTTTCTGGCTGGGCTCTCTCCCCAGGAATCAGGTCCCAAATTGGTGGTGGTGGTGGGGAGGTGCTGATCTCCCGAAGCCTCCTGGAAGGTGTGAATTTTTATCCCTTTCCATGCCTGCTTAAGGCGGGTCGGTGCAGACGAGTTTGTTCCTCTCTGTGTGTGTTCCTCCTGGGTACAGGGCAGACACTGCCTGGCTACAGTCATAGGAGGCTGCAAAGTGTCTGTGGGTCTCCAGCAGCTGGAAAAGGTTTGAGTCTCTTTGGCAGATGTTTGCTGTTCCAGCCACTTCATTAATGTTGGAAACTAAACCCTTGACTGTTCCTGACCAAGGCCCCACTTCGTGATTGACAGCTGGGGTGTGCTTCCTCCCACAGAAGCCCCTTACAGACTGAGAGCAGAAAAGGGAGTGAAAAGAGGGAGATGGGAGCAAAATGGGAATTCGGCTAGATATCATTGCTAAAAAACAAAGTATCAAGGAAGGAGAGGGGGAAAGTCTGAGTCACTTAAGGAGAAAGACAAATTCATTACAAATAGTTAAGATTTGAAGTCCCATCCTGGGCTTGGGTCTTTCACACACATGATATAATTATCCCAGCTTTCACGCGTTCATTTATTCCTGACACATTTACTCAGAGCCTGCTTGTGCCGGGTGCTGCGCTGGTACTGGTGATACTGGATGAATAACAACACAAGGGCATTGGCTCACTAGGAGTTCATTGTCCAGTGGGTGAAATAAACATACAGAAGACAATAACAGAGTAAAGGGACAGCTAAGATAGAGGTAGAAGCCATCGAGGACAGCATTGGGGCGTGGGGAAACAGAGGAGGTAGCATTTGAGATGGGTCTGGAACTAGTTTTTCAGGCAGAGAAGGCGAGAAGGGATGGCGTGTGGAGGGCATTCCCATGAAGGGAACAGCTTGTGTGAAGGCATGGATTATGAAAGGCCAACCTTGTCAAGTAGATATGATTACCGTTTACAAATGAAAAACCCGAGGTTCAGCTTCGTTTATAAGCGACAGAGAGCTCGAGGCTCCAGACTCCAAGATCTGGAATCTCTCTCTTCACTACACCTGGGAGACATTTTGTGTTCTCAGACGCTTTCTGAGATTTCTTGCCTCTGGAGTAGAAAATAGTAAAGATGGAAAACCCAAGGAGTTGAATCGAAATGTTTCTACTTCTTTAGCTGTTTAAAACACTGCAGACTTCAAAGGACAGTCTGCAGGAGAGTCTGAGCGAATTTTGCGTGTGTGGTCGAGTGAAAGTCGGCAGGGGTGAGGAGTGAGGGGGCTGGAGGGCGCGGCCGGCAGAGGCGAGGCCGATTAGGCCGGGCGGCTTGGGCTTCGGCGCTGTCCCCGCTGTGTGCAGCCTTCCGTGAGGCAGCGCCGCGACGCAGGGGCACAGGAGCGCGGCTCCAGATCGGGTTTGTAGAGAGGGAAGGAGGAGAGGAAGAGGAGAAGAAGCAAGGAAAGGAAGAGAAGGGAAGAAAGAAAAAGAGAAACATGGATGGAAGATGGGGAGAAGAAAAGGGAGGACAGAAGAGGGAAAAAGAGAAGCGGGGAAGTTCGACAAAGGAGAGGAGGTCGAAAGTGCTGGGAACAGTGGGGGAAAGGGAGAGATGGGAGGGGGAAGAGGAAAGGACTTAGTGGTGGGGAAAGGAATGAGAAGCCTGAGAGGGGAAAATAAGTCTAAAAGAGGATAAAAGAGGTTGAGGAAAAGGAGGGCAGTGCACAGACAGGGCCCCGAAGAGTAACTCGGAGTGCGCGCATCCCGTGAGCGCACGGCAGGGGCCTGACACAGAGTCCAAACGGGTAACGCTCAGTCCCTCGCCAGGGTCGCCTGGTGTAATGGAGAGGCTGTCGCTCAAGCGCTGGGCCGCAAGTGCTCGAGAACGCCTCGAAGTCCGCGCTGCCCATGGGGTCGCCCCCACACCGCGCCACTCTCGAGTCCCGCCAAAGACTCAGTTTCACGGCGGCTACCAACAGCTCCGCACTTTCCAGGGGAAAATATAACTCCCCACCCAAGACTGTCCCCGGCGCGAACTCCGCGCCCCTGGGACCCGTCCCCGGCTCGTTGCGCAGCCGCTCTCCGCGCCCAGGAGAACCCCTTGGCCGAGGCGCCGGGCAGCGGTGCCCTGGCTGAGAGCGGCGCGGTCCTCCGCCGCGCGCGGGACAGCGGACAGGCCGCTGGGGCTGTTCACCAGAGGCGGGGGCGCGCCCGGGCCCAGCGCGGCGACCTCCCGGCTTTGCGGCTGGACGCGCGTCGCCGCCAGGACCCCCTGCCGCCTCTGCATGGAAAAGGAGAATAAATGAAAAGAATTCTAAATGGAGAGGAGAGGGGGAGAGAGCCAGAGCACACACAAACACTTCGGTAATGAAGTTCCTCCAAGACGCATTGTGGGCCACGTCTAGTACTGGGCTTGGATTCGGTTATTACAGCCTATTTTCTCTAGGTGCCTAATGATTAGTTCTCCAGGTGTGCCGCTTCCCTCTGAATTGAACCACCCGCCCAGGCGCGCGCGTCGACTTGCTTGCGCGCGACTCGGGATCCTGGGCGAGCAGCTCCGCAGCAATCCCGCCGCGACTCGGGGCGGCTTTCAGGTTTTGAGCGAGGAGATATCACCAACCCTCAAAGCGGCCTCGGAGAAGGCCTTTCGCGTCTATAATTCTCAGTTTCTCTATCGTGCATTTTTCTTCCGGCACCGCGCACACCAATTCCGAGACAAAATCGTGGGAAACCGCTGCCACAGTGCGACTTCCGCCGACCGCGGGGCGCTGAGGCAGGACGCAGGCACCGGGAGCTGTCCCGGTCGCGGACCCTGGGTGGGGGTCCCCCTCGCCCACCAATTCCAGTTGAAAATAAAAGTTCGTATAGATATTGATTGGAATAGACTCGGAGGTCAGGAGCCCAGCAAGAAGAAGGCAAAATACCTAATAAACACGTGTCTTTGTGGCTCCCCAAACCCCACGCGTCGGGAGGGACCCGGGGAACTAAAGCCGCGTTGCCGGGGGTGTCCGGCGCTGGGAGAAGCCGCGAAGGGGGCTGACTGCCCAGGGGCCCGCCGGCACCCTGGAATTGCGCTGCGCTGGCCCTTCCGGCGACGAAGAAGTTTACAGAGTTTAAAAATAAAAAAGAACGCAGGCTTTTGTTGATTACCTTTTTTAGAAAAGTTTATTATTGGGATAACGGACAGGCAAACGGTTATTTATGGTTTGGGATCTCCGTGCGGCAGTCAAGTTTGCCACCTCAGCGCAAAAGCCCCAGGCTCGGCGCGCGCGGGCTCGGCGAGCTGGGCACGGGGCGCGAGGCCGCGGTGCTCGGGAGACGGCCCGTGGGGGTCCGCGCGGGGAAGGAGAAAGGCACACTGGTCCTCGGGGGCGCCGGCTCTGTGGTCCGCAGTCTTGGGTGCCTCGGCGAGGACTCGACTTCTTTCTAGTAGGAGACCTGGACGTGCCCGCCTGCCGGGTTACCGGCGGCGGGAGTGGGGCCCAGCGGGTGGCAAGACAGAGCGAACACGGTGCGCGGGGGACGCGGCCTGCAGCAGCCACCCGCTGAGGCCTGGCCCGCCAGCAGGGGCGGTGCGCGCTCCCCGCACCGCGCGCACACAGGAGCGCGCACACTGCGCACACACCTGGAGCTTGTCCCAGGAGGGGGGCGGGGAGGAAAGCCACAGCGAGTGTCTTAAAATAGAGAGGCAGGCGGAGAAGCGCGAGACACTGAGAGGCGGGTGGAGGCGAGCGAGAGCGGCGGGCACGAGGCGCGCAGGTCCGCGCCCGGGTTGTACAGGCGGGCAGGGTGGGGTGGGCGCCGACGCCCCTCGGCGGCCGGCCCTCAGCGCGACTCCGCACCGGGCCCTGCAGGAAGCGCGCGCTGATTGACAGCTGCGCTGTCCCAAAAAGGCTCCGCGAAGATGCTGATCTGCGGGTGGGTCTAGACGCGCGGCCGGCACGCCTGGTGTCCGCTCCCTCCGCGCACCTCCCGAGCCCCGCCGCTCCCCGGCTGCCCAGGAGCGGAGCTGAGGCTCCCGCGGGCGCGCCAGCCCCCGCGGCCCCAGCCGGCAGGGCAGTCGCAGCCGCGCTCAGGCCGGCGGGCGCTCGCCCCGGCTCACCATGCACTGCCACGCGGAGCTGAGGCTGAGCTCGCCCGGCCAGCTCAAAGCAGCCAGGCGGCGCTACAAGACTTTCATGATCGACGAGATCCTTTCCAAGGAGACCTGTGACTACTTTGAGAAACTTTCCCTCTACTCCGTGTGCCCGTCGCTGGTCGTGCGACCCAAGCCCCTGCATTCCTGTACCGGTAAGACGCCCCGCCGGGGATTAGTGGGGTACGGCAGCTTTCCCGTACGTATCGGGCGCTTCACCGCCTCTATCCTCGCACCCGAGGGCGCGAGGAAGGGGCCCGGGGATTCTTCCCCTGTGCCCTGCAAGGGGAACTAGATTCGTCAGCAGCGGGCACTGCAAAGGCGTCTGCACTCTGGGAAGGGCCAGGCTCGGTGTCCAAGGCAAGGTTGGAAATGAAGCGAAGGCAGCGAGCCCCTAGGAGCGGGCCGCTTGTGCAACGCCTGCTGATCCTGCTCGCAGGAGAGCGCCTCCTCCTTCCCAGCGCCGCTGTGGCTCAGGCAGAAAGTTCCCACTCTTGACCAAGTTCAGCGCCTAAATTAGTGTTTCAGGAAGTAGCGTTGCTTCTCGCTTTAAGTTGTCCAGCCTCCTCCTGTCTCCACTGGGAATTGTACAAGCAAATCAGTATCCTGAGGCTCTCAGGAAAATCCTGAATTCACTGAACTTTACTTAAAAGGCTCTCCCTCTGGAGAAGCAGTTCTGGAACACGTCTTGCGGTGCAAGCTGAGGTCACCCCCCGTTTGTTTTTTTTTTAAGTGACTAAAAAACAATGATAAAAACATTCTTCAAATCTGGTTTCCTTTCTCCACGAGAGCTGAGATCAGTAGTAAAATTAAAGAGCACCTAATAAATATATTGAAAAAATCTTAGGTTTATGTATAAAATAAATCCGAAGGCATTTGTAAAACTTGGAGTGCATTAAGAGAAGCTCCAGGTTTCAAAGTGCCCTGGCGTTATAAGGATTTACCGAAGTGTAGGTATAACAAACACAGAAGTTGAAGCCGTTCTTATCAAAAAAGTTATTGACTGAGCTTTCAACTAAAGGAAGACATTTAGCATTTCCAAACCAAAAGAACCTTCCTTTGAGGTTGTTGGTTGCATGGGTGGCATGAAATAAATTAATTTAATTACACTTACACTGAAAAAGTAAAGTGAAGAGCTAGCAGTGTTTTTTAAAAAATTATTTTAATGAGTTCATTTTGACTTACAACATTGTGTAAATTTCAGGGGTCCATCACTATATTTCAGTTTCTGTATAGATGCTAGCAGCGTTTTTGAAAGACATTTTTGGAACATTCAAGCCAAAAGCTTCTAGTGCACGATCCTTGGAATCCTGTATTTTCTGTTGGTTCTATTGATTGTCCCTGTAGGACAATCAGTTAATATGTATGTAAATTCATACAGTAAAGTTGTTTTAAAACCAAGATGCGTCTACATGTATTTGGTTATAAAATGAATACTGTATTCACTCGCACCTTTGTAAAATAAGCTTTGTCTGTAAGGTGGAATTAGGCCTGATAGCTCATAACAAGACTTGTAATTCTGAATTTTAAAAACCAAGAAATAAACAAAACAAGAAACAAATAAGAAATTTTAGAAACAAGACTGAGATGCATAACACTGATACTTTACATTTATTTGTGTGTGTGGCGTTCGTGTACCTTGGATGAGTAGTCTACATTTCTACTGGAGAAGGGAGGCGGGCTGAATCTTGTTTTGAGCATAAAGAATCATTTGCTACAATAATTCAAATCTCTTTGAGGAAGAAGAGAGGATCCCTTTTGATCATAAATCTCAGTGCACCCTGCTTAGACACTGCCCACCTGGAGGTTCCCAGGGCAAAAGAGAACCACCTCTCCTGAACACCCAGGTGTAGCGAGTGCCTACAGTGACTTTTGCCCCGCATTGACTTGGAGGCCGCTTTTCTGGCATTGAGCAGTCACAGAATTGGATCATAGAAGAAAACGTGCCAGAAAGAGAGTAATAAATAGCCTCAGAAAACAGTGATCAGTCATCAGTGGAGGCTGAATAAGTTCAATGTTTAATTGAACCCTGTATGGGAAATCAATCAGAGGAAAATAAAAGGATTCATATGTAGTTGTGTGAGTGTTAGTGGTGAATTGCACGTAAGTTACAAACTGGAAGTTTTGCTCAGTCTTGAGCTTTTGAAGTTTGTCAGTGGTTTGTGGGAGGGGGTGGTTCTTGGCAATGGTTTTCTTGCCCTGTCATTCCAGTGCTTGCTTTCTTAAGATTGTTTTTTTGCAAATGTGTTGTGATTTTGTGCTAGTTGAGATTTAGAATAAAGAAAGTGGGATTTGCCAGTGGAATTAAACCCATAAAAACTGGCTACAATTGTCCCTGCTTTCAGATCATAAGCCTTCAGTGGGTTTACGGTTACAGTTAAAGCCTTACATGTATTAGATCATGGGAATCCCATTAGTGACTTCTCAAGGGTTTTGCAAATACCATACTTTCAAAGCATTTTTGTTGTTTTTAACAGTACTGTTCAAGATCAAAAATCTTAGATTGGATGAACTTAATCTTTTTTTTATTAATTAAAAACCAGCACTAAGTTGCTGGCATCTGTAATGAAACTATATATATATTTTTTGCTGGATAGAGATAAATATTTAGCACTTTTGGTGGAACCAATGGGTAAAAAGTTCCAATCAAGTGAAAAGCATAAATTGGAATTAAAATTACTGAACTTTCTCATCCTTTGGTTTGCTGTTTTAAGATTTAAATAACTAATAGAAGTGAACTTTGTCAGGTAAAATAATGAAAACTAAGATAAAAAAGTTACCACCCTGCACAGTAAGTATGTACAATTGGGGTGGAAAGAAAGCTACAGCATTTAAAAGCCTCTACGTAATTAAAGCATCCATGTTGTTTAGATTTGTACCGAATCTCATCAGGTGGTGTCTTTGGGTTCATTTTTATCACAGAGATTGGGTGTCATCCCAGTGAAAAATGAAATGAGGTGTGGACGTGTATAATGACTTCTTTGGGAGTCAGGGAGCCAGCTGCTGCTTCATGGAGTTGCCTCCAGTGATTCCTCACATCTCCGCTGGTGAGATCTTTTGTTGGCGACCAAAACCGTAGGGTCTTAGGAACCTGAGAGTTGGGCACTGGAATGTTAATGGAGAAATGTAAACTGGGGTTTGGGAAAATGATCATTATCAACAAGTGTTTGTATGTCTGCAAGAGGCAGCTAGGCTTTTGTTAGCAATTACTGATAACGGCTTCTCCTATTCCCATTCTAAGGGTAAATAAATCGAGGGGTGCACAGGATATGGGACTCATCCAGGGTTGGAATATATTTGGAGCTGAGGTCTTTTGGGATCCTCAGCTGTTGTCTCATTGCTCCTTAAATTTTATAACTCCTTTGTTAAATAGAGAGGTCGAAGGGTTCTTTAGGAGTCAGTGTTACCGAGTGAATGGTTCCTTAGCAGTTTCTTCTCTGGCTCTGATTTTCCTAATAATAAATGGGAAAATGATTAGAAATTTAGTTCTCAAGTTAAAACATCTCTCCAAATGTCTATAACCTTCAGTATCTTTTAATTCAAAAAAAAGTTTCATACAACAAATATTTATACTTGCTTGGTGATGGCACTGCTATTGTGTCCATTAGTTTTCAGTTTATTCTGAATCTTGACTAACAGTTGGGATATTTAAAACATTTCTCTGAACTGCTTGTAGAACCACTGACAAGCCCATCTTTCTCGTTCGCTAGAGTCTATGACGGGCACTTTGGAATTGGGATAGGGGAACGTTATGACCACTTGATATTGTGCTCACCATATGGAATTTTCTCTTTGAACTCCACTTAAAGGGTGTCATCATCAGCAAAATTGTCATATTAACCTCGCTAAATACAGCTCAAATGAAATTGTGTGTATAGGAACTCTTTTATGAAGCCAGTTTCCTACAGACACGCTAGTGTTCTTGTTGGCTGTACCTGTGGAGTGACAACTGAATTTGTGATACAAGCGTGGATGGTATCAAGTTGCTCGTTAACACATCTCAGAAATCTAAGTGAAAAGATGGTTTAATATATCCCAGGAATATATATGAAAACAGTAAGGACTGTAAAAGGTTGTTCAAATTCTCAAGAGATTAAAATGAAAAAAAGGAAGGAATAGGGAAGAAGAAAAAGAGTAGGTTTCTTTGAAACTCTTGGAGCCATTTGATTCAGCTTGTATGTAGCACGGTGTCCCTCAGCATGGCTGTGCTGGCAGAACAAAGGTGCCTTCTAAAAGTCTTCGGTCAGGGCACAGAGAATAAATGGCTAATGCTGATTTTACTTAGACACATGCTGGGGCCCCTTAAGGGAAGAGACCCAGAGCCTGGCCCTGCCCAGCACTTAGCATTCACTGTAGAGGACTGAATAAATGTTAAGTCTGACGTATTTTTAGCTGTTATTCGCAGTTTGTTTTGAGGTCAGGGAGGAAGAGGAACAGAGATGAAAGCTATGTAGGTCACAGGATCCAAGGCTCCCTCATTAGTATGAAGCCTGTGAACTTTTGTGGGCCGTGGAGCCTGCCCTGCCATACCTGCCCCTCGTCCTGCTCCAGAGTGAAGTTAATTCCGGTCCTACGGCTAAGCCTGTTGACGAACTCCTATCTGGAATATAGTTAGAGGGCTGCAAGGGTTTGGCTGAGGTGTTTAGATTTTAGCCTCATTTTACGTTCTTTTTTGGGGAATACTGTATTACGTTCTGGTCTCGTGGAGCTGGTTTTCGTGTGGCACCAGAGGTGTCTCCCATGCTCACAGCTGGGTTAGCCTTCTTCTAACCAAGAGCTTCCCGGAGCCCATGGGTGCTCACAGAGCTGTCACGACTCACCCTGCTGCCAGGGCATACTTCTCTTGGAAGCAGCATGACAAAGAGAGAAAAAAAAAGAGGATCGAGGATATTTGGGTGAAAACTCCCTACGTGTGGCAAAGCCCCTCTGTCCCGCCTGGCCGGTGCCTGCTTCTGTTTTAGCTGCCTGTGAGGGTGGAATTGTTTCTTCCTCCACAGCTCGGATGACAAGATTACAACTGACATTAGAATTCATTAATAATGGGGTTCAGATCAGGACCTTGTACAAACTTGGTGATATTAACAAAATAAATATGGTTTATTATTAATAATTTATTATTATTAAAATGGTTCCAAGAAGAGAGTTTTTTTTTTTT